CCAAGGTGATTTTTTTTCCCAATTGGTTTTGTTTACATAGATTTGTCCTTTCCGGGTGCTGGAAAGTGTGTGTGAAAATATTGAAAATGTTTTATTATTAAATTTGAATTTTTTGCTTAGGCTTCTGTGGATTCAACTTCTGTTAAGTTTATTTGATTTTGGTCGGGAGGGTTGGTTGGTCTATGAACGAGTGATTTGTGTGCTTTGTTTTTGGTTATGTGATGCTGGGGACTGATTTTGTGCCGTACACGTATGTATTTAGGAGATTGTGTGAATTGGCTTTTTCCCCTGTTTCGCTTTGGATTTTTTTTCCTTACGGGTGTGAAAAGGGGTTGTTTCATATTATGGTTGTTTGTATTTTTTTATTCTTCTTTTCCTTACATCACTCGGAACTCGAATGCTTAATAATTTGGAATAGCAGTTTAGCAATTTCGTGCTAGATCCGATGTATTCAATACTGATTTGATTAAACATCAACCAATTCAACGCTTGCACTACTCATCTTTATTTAGTCTAAGATGACTCTGGTTGATTTTGCGAGTTCATTTGATTATAATCGATACCATGATGTTACTATGTGCTCACATTGTTATACTGTTTAAAATGTCCACAATTCTATGGAGAACTTGGATCTTGTTTTGCGACTGGGATTATGTTGAATTCTCCCGATGTTGCTCTTGTTTTAAGTTTTATAACATTAATTCATATTCTTGTTATGGGGAAAAACAACTATTCCTATTCACTGCCTCCATGATATGTGACAAGTGTGTTATACATTGTTTTGACACAATTCAAGAAAAACTAGTTAAATAGTGTATCAACCACCTTTACAGTATCTTTGCAGTATTTAGAGTATCTTCCACCTTCATTTATATTATCAGGGCATAAAGGAAAAGTAATAATTAATATTATATTGAAAAACCAAAATGATACTTGTTGTTAGGTGGATGGAGGATTATATTTTATTTTGTAATTTTGGGACTATAACTGAATGACAATTTTTTCCTCAAATGATCATGCTTGGATCATAAAAACAATTCTTGACATGCTTACATGGCATGCTTAATATTATGATATTATTATAATATAATATTATTACAATTGGTTAGGATAGATGTTGATTAGGTTCTTATCTTTCTTTAGCTAATAGCTTTGAATCCTGTTGTACAGAGAACTTACAAGCATGATAAGATTATGGAAGGCCTTAATATTACTGAAGAGATGTTAAACTCTAACTCGGTCACGAGACAACTCAATGATCAGATATCTCTGGCAAAAGCCTTTGTCGTAATTGCCAAAGAAAGTAACAATCTCCAATTTGCTTGGGAATTAAGTGCCCAGATCCACAATTCACAGAGGCTCCTCTCAAATGCTGCAACTAGGCGTGTTCCTTTGACAACAAGGGAAACAGAAAAGGCCATCCGTGATATGGCATTATTGTTATACCAAGCCCAGCAGCTCCATTATGATAGTGCAACCATGATCATGAGATTCAAAGCAAAAATTCAAGCTCTTGAGGAACAGATGAATTCAGTTACTGAAAAGAGTTCGAAATATGGACAAATAGCTGCTGAAGAAGTCCCAAAAAGTCTGTACTGCCTTGGTGTTCGGTTGACAACAGAATGGTTCAGAAACTTTAATTTGCAAAAGAAATCGAAGGACAAAAGACAAATGGAGATGAAGCTCAAGGACAACAACCTTTACCACTTCTGTGTTTTCTCTGATAACATTCTTGCAACTTCAGTAGTGGTCAATTCAACTGCAATGAATTCTAAAAATCCCAATATGATTGTTTTTCACCTTGTCACTGATGAAATAAACTATGCTGCGATGAAGGCATGGTTTGCGGTGAATGATTTCAATGGAGTGACTGTGGAAGTTCAGAAGTTTGAAGACTTAACTTGGTTAAATGCTTCATATGTTCCTGTGCTCAAGCAACTTCAAGACTCTGAAATACAGAGCTACTACTTTTCAGGCAACAGTGATGAGGGAAGAACACCTATCAAGTTTCGTAACCCTAAATATCTATCCATGCTTAATCACCTGAGATTCTACATACCTGAAGTCTTTCCCGCAATAAAGAAGGTGGTGTTCTTGGATGATGATGTTGTGGTTCAGAAGGATCTTTCTGATCTTTTTTCCATTGATCTGAATGGTAATGTAAATGGAGCTGTTGAAACATGCATGGAGACATTTCACAGATACCACAAATATTTGAACTACTCTCATCCTCTTATACATGCACATTTTGACCCTGATGCTTGTGGATGGGCATTTGGGATGAATGTATTTGATTTGGTTGAATGGAGGAAAAAGAACGTGACTGGCATTTATCAATACTGGCAGGAAAAGAACGTAGACAGGACATTGTGGAAACTTGGAACCTTGCCGCCTGGACTGTTGACATTTTATGGATTAACTCAGCCCTTAGATCCATCGTGGCACGTTTTGGGTTTTGGCTACACCAATGTTGATCCTCAGTTGATAGAGAGGGGTGCTGTGCTACATTTCAATGGAAATTCCAAACCATGGTTGAAGATTGGGATAGAGAAGTACAAGCCCCTGTGGGAAAAATATGTTGAATACTCTCATCCTTTATTGCAGCAGTGTAACTTCCACTGATTTTGTATTGTGCTTAAATAGATACTTCAGACCTCGTGGAAGATTCAGATTCAGACTTACTTGCCTCAGTTAGTGGGGTAGGAAAAATTATATCAGTGGCTGGTTGTGGAACTGGTAGGCTGGGGGAGATGCTTACTGGATGGCCAGATTCAGCTCTTAATTCGTTGTCAGAAATGTTTGTACAATTTTGGAAGGTCAAACATGTCTGGTGGCTTTATCTTTGGTGTCTTCATTGAATCTGGATCTTCTGATGTAGCATATACACGTTCATCTGTCAGATATTAGACTAAATCAGTTCAGTTTCTAATTGCAGTCAAGGATGAGATCAGCTGCAAACCTTTTATGTTCACAACTGTTATTTGCAAGACCAAAACTTTATTCTGTTATTCTCAATGCCACTTTTTCAAAAGAAATATTACTGTGGTCGAGAATTATCAACTTCTCACGTGTAACAAAACTATCTACTATATTTATTCCAGAAGCAGATATTCCAGCTGGATATTTTGTTTTGAGTGGAGAATGCTTGTATGTGATCATATGCCTGTGTACAATTGTGTATAGTTTGTACCTTATATCTCAGTAGTCTAAAGAATTTCTAAAGGTATTAGTCCAAGGGTGGATTAACACAGTAACAATTTTTCTTAAGTGACGTCTAAAATAAAAGATGAGAAAGATGTGCAAAATTTGCAGTAGACAAAAAGAACATTTTAAAAATTGAAGAAAATTGCTAAATTTTTCTTTCTGAACACAGAATAACAACACTCTCTAACGACGATAGGAAATTTTAATTAATTAAGACATCTTTAAATAAAATAAAATATTTTTCTCTCTCACTTTTTCTCTAAGTAAAGAATTAAAAAGAAAAGAAAAAAAGGGATTCATTTTTAAATGGTCCATCAAATATAAATAAAAACTGGAGGTCGTTAGTTGAAATTTCGCTAATGTGGGATTTTCACTTGTACTGTAAGTTCTAACAAAATGCTTGCTTCTCACCCATCTGGACACTGTTTAGCATTATATTATGTAACTAAACTATTTTAATAATGGTTTGTTTTTACTTTTCAAATTTTTGGTTGACAAGATATTAATTTATAATGAAAGTATTTTAATAAAAAGTTGTGCATTTCATGCGCTGGATTATGAAGAAAACTTTAGTAGAAATGAATTGTTGACGGAAGGAATAGTGATATATAGCATTACCTATTTTTTTATGAATTAAAAAGGTTTCATTTTTTTTTTCTCAAATTCATTAATTTTTTTAGTCCATTTCATATTTTCATATTTAGTTTAAGGGATAGCAAATTATAAGCAAGAACTAGCGATGAAAGAACAACAAAATTACCTCAAACTAAATATATATATTTGTTTCATCTACATCTTCAAAGGTGACTACCACGAAAGAAATCAAGTGTCACAGATTTTTTAAATATGATTGTATTATTCCATAAACGTGCTCACATCACACAAACCTTGCTAACCCATTAAATTAAAATATAGTGCACTAGAACCAAACAGAAAAAGTTTGAGAAAATTAGGGCCATTTCAACTTCGAAGAAATTTCAAACATGTGGCACTAATACATTGATTCATCCCTCACTCAAACAGGAAAAACCGAATTCTCGCCAATGATTTTCAACTTCACCTGCCAAACGTAAACCAACAGTGCCAACCACAAGGGCATTCGAGTAATTCATCCATGCCGGCGCAAGGTGATTAATATTTTACGGCGCCATTCTCAAGTGTCAACTCTTACTTACATGCAACACGAAAAAAGAAATAAACATGCTCCGAGGTTTTTACTTCCAACATCCTCTGACCCATGAAAACGCCGAACGGTTCACCGGTTTCTAGTCCATCTCCGAAACCTCGTCAACTCCGAACCCGCGAATCAAGTTCACGGTTTCTCCCTTCACCTCCCAACTCAACCACACACTCCGCAGAATGCCACTCCCCGGTCCGCCGCAAATCCTCCAGCCCAAACCGGCGCCATGCAATCACGGAGGACCCGGGTCCCACGCGCCACCAACTATGGCCTTCGTCTGCGGTGACGAAGAGAAACTCCGGTACTCTGGCCGACCACATCACCGAAGACAGAATCATAGAGGGCACAACTAATACACCCATCAGCATTGGTGGCTCTGAGAGACACGTGGCGAAATTAGCAACACCTTCGGAATCACCATCTTCTAAGAGACCCGTTTACAGCAACATGGCTCCTGGAAGATTGTTGCTGGACGAGAACGCCAAGTCCTTCTCTTCGCGGAGACACTCGTGTTCTTCTAGAAACTCTATCGATTCAGAACCTGACGCGGGAAAAACAACACCGAGAAAAACTGACATGGAGGTTGAACATTCGAGTGTTGCAACAACAACGTTGAGAAGGCCTCGAAGGGGAACTTCAGATTCCAATATTGCGAACATGAACGGTGACTCGTCGGCTGTGAAACGCTTCGCGTTGAAAACGGCTATTAGGAGGGCTAATTCGCTTGCTGGATCGTACAAGAGTTCGAAGTCTTCGTGGGCTTTGTCTCCTGGGAGAGCGGAGTCGCCGGCTATGTCGGTCGAGAGCATGGATAGACCGATGTCGTTTTCGGGCTTCAAACACCATCCCACTAGTCCTACTACCAAGGTGAAAGGGGTGGAGAAGTTGCTCAACATGGGTTTTGATCTTTTCAAGAGTAAGAAAAGTGGTGGGTTTGGGTCTCTTTCGCCCATTGGTTTTGGTGTTAGCTCGGAGGTTGTTCATAAGCTTCGTTTGTTTGATAATCGGTTGATGCAATGGCGGTTTGCAAATGCTAGAGCCCAGGTTGTGAATGGAACCATTTCTCACAAGGCTGAGGTATGTATGTTTGATAGTAGATACCCACATAGAATAGAGAGAATTGCAGACTTATAGAAGATGTACTGCGTGAACTTTCTAAAACTATGTTTTATATAAAATTTTGTGATTACATATTCTTTTTAAAATAGTATGTTCATATGATACATAAGTATTTTATCAAGTTACGTGTTTCTGTTTATCAAAGATGAACTCTTGTAATTTCTCACCTCTGGTTATGATTCTTCTATTCGTCTACGTGTATGCCTCACACTATAATTTTCCTTGATATGGTCTCACAATTAACGAATGAGAAAGGATAATGGATTGATGACATCCTCATTTGTGAATATGTTTAGAGCAATTTGACATGTGTTTGGGATGCTCTCACAAAGATACAGCGTTCTGTTCTGAAAAAGAAGATGCAATTTGTCAGAGAAAAGCTTGAAATGAAGGTCGCTTTTGTTCTGTATTCTCAGGTCATAGTAAATCTCCCTTTATCAAGATTTGTTAAACATGTCTTATTTCAAAGGTTTCTTTTTTCAAATGACATTTTGATGTTTATGCAGATGAAGCTGTTAGAATCATGGGTAGGTATGGAAAGGCAACACTTACAAGCAATAACCGCCATCAAAGAGTGTCTGCATTCGGTTGTTTGCAGAGTTCCTCTTTTGGAAGGTGCCAAGGTACGTAAGTAGATACAGTGGAAAGTAGAAAATGTTACCATATCAGAAGTAATAGGAAAAGTGTATTGACTGAATTCAATTCTATTCTGACAGGTGAACATGCAATCAACATCGATTGCTCTACGGCAGGCAACTGATCTCACGGCTCGCATCAAGTCAATTTTTACTACTTTATCATCTCCCGTATGTTTTCAATTGTTAAAACTGTGTTATTTAGTCTGTTATTATCTCTGAGCAGTTATATTCAAATCAAATATTGCTTCATCAGGAGGTTGATAAGACTATTGCCACGCTATCAGAATTAGCAAAAGTTGTAGCACAAGAGAAACAACTCTTAGAAGAGTTCTATGATATTTTCCAGGCCATATATGTCTTTGAGGTAACTAATTTTGAGAAAAAGAGTTCAACTTTTATTAAAGAGCTTAAACTAGGATTAAATATGATTTTAACTTTTCAAACTTAAAAAAATAAATAAATATAGTCTATCTAATTCAATTGAATTAATTTTTTTATGTCTGAAACAATATTTTAAACCAATATTTGAATTATTTATACATTTTCACATATTACAACTCATAATGTTACTGAAATAGAGAATTATATCAATTTATTTTTTAAGTTTTGAGAAAAATATATATTAAAATTTAGAAAGGAAATCAATTCCAATTTAGCATTTGAAGTTTAAGAATTTCAAATATATTTAATTTACTAAAAAAAATCAATATCCAATGCTTATAATACAAATTCACATTTCATCCACCACACTGTGTATTCATAACATTTTTAATGTGCGACGTCATGTTAAAACTCAGCAAATTATCTAAATTTTCAATTACAAGCCAATCCATTTTTTTTTCTTTATAGTTGAATTTATCTAATATTGGCAGGTTCAAGAAAGAAGTGTAAAGTGCAATCTCGTTCAACTAGAAGTCTGGCAGAAAAACATATGAACTGCAGCAACCACTACCTCAGATCTCTATTTAGATAATGGACGTCAAAGAAATATACAAGTTTTGATTGACAAATTTTGCTAATAGTGCAAACTGTTTACATGGTCCAGCACTATAATTGTTATTCTTTAAACCACCATGCACGATTAGTTTACATTAACAGTGTCCTTCACATCAGCAAACACCAAATTAATAATACATTCTTGAAAAATGATATTTTCTCCATTATTTCTCTTACTCTACGGTTATCTTGTCTTTGCTTTCTTTCTCTTTTTTATTTTTAAGATTATTATGTGAAAACAACACTGTTTTACTGTCTCTGCATTCTATCTCTACGTCTCTGTAAAAATTATTGGTTAAAACTTCATTTTCTTATATCTCTTTTCCATTTTTTTATCATCATTTTTTCCCTTTCCTTCAACCAATTTCACGACCCGGAAAAGGTGTGAAATATATTTTCCCTTTACGTATACTCAGGTCCAATCCGAAGTTAGTGCAAATATGGCCTTTGCAAAGGAACTTAGTTTTAATGTTTGAATTATGAAGGTCAAAAATTATAATTCAACAAGGATTATGAAAACGAAAAAACAAATGGAAAGATGGAGTATAACATTAATTTCATAACAATAATTTTTATCAACATTTTTTTCTGTAGTTGTACTGAAATAAATAAAAATAATCTTATCTTTTCATTCCTCATGAAATATTGAATATGAAGTAGATATCAATATAATTTAAACTTTTCATCCTTGGATTTGGAATTAATTCGTTGTATTAGCATATCTAGAGTACATTGGGGTGCGATTAGTACTTAACAGTTTGGGTTATTTTCTACATTATTATTAGCCAACGACCACTGGTTCTTGGCTGTTGCTCCCTCCACCTCCACATACTTCTCCCTCCACCTCCCCAATTATCTTTAATTCCAATTATATCCTTAAAGTTAAAATTTTTTATTTTTATTATTTTATTATTTTAATATTTTAATATTTAAATATAAAATAATATAAATATACATTATTAAAATACATTAAAAAGATATTCAAAAATAATAAATCAAAATATTAAAATATCTAATAAAATAATAACAGAAACATAAAATTAAAACAAAGCTTAAATGGATGACATCCTTCAACGGATGTCAACATCCGTTTAAGGCGAAACGGATGTCGACATCCCGTTTTGCCTTAAACGGATGTTGACATCCGTTGAAGGATGTCATCCGTTTAGGCTTCGTTTTCATTTTACGTTTTAGGGTTAAAGGATTATTGGAAAGATTATTGGAAGGATTATTGGAAGGGTTTAGGGTTTAGGGATTAGGATTATTGGAAGGATTATGACTACGTACCTGGAGAGGAACCACGACAAGCACATTACACCACAAACGCAATGCACCACGTACTGCACCGAAAGCAAGAGGAAGATTGCTTGATAATTCTTTTCACGATCACTGAGCTTTGCAGAAAAATATTTTACTCATACAAGGAACTACGTAGGTTATCAGTGAAATATGTTATAAATGAGTAAAATTAGAAAACAATAATTCTAAAAATAAAATTTTAGTGAGGGGCAAAATAGTAAAGGGGAGGTAAAGGGAGAAGGCTGTGGTGGTGGAGGGAGCAACACCCCTGGTTCTTATAAGGTGTTGTTCCCTCCATCACCACCACCAAATGCTCCCTGTACCACCCCATATCAAATTTATCCTTGTAATAAGAGGGATGTCAACATTCCTTTCACCTTCAATAAATATTGACATCCGTGAATGGATGTTGACATCCATTTATATATTTTAACTTATTTTTTTATATTTTAGTTTATTATTTTTATTTTAGATTTTATTTTAATAATATTTTTTATTTACATAATATATTATAAAAAACAAAAAAAATTAAATATTTTATAAATTAATTTAAAAAAAAAACCTTAATGATGACCACATGTGACACAACCAATTAAGTAATTATATAAAAATATTTAAATAATTAATTAAATAATAATACATAAATTAAATTAATAATATTTTTTATTAAATAAAATAAAATTAATTTATATACAATTACGTAATAAATTAATTTATTTTATTTAATTAAATAATAATTATTATTTTAATTAAATTATAAAAAAATTAAATAATTAGAATCAACAAACGGATGTGCCATTTTCGGGCATGTGGTCACATCCATTTTTTGTTTAAGTATTTTTTTATTTTTAGTTTATTTAAATATTATATTTTAATTAATTTATAAACTACTTAAATTATTTATTTTTTATAATATATTATGAAAATTAATTTTATTTTATTTAATTAAATTATTATTATTAGTTTAATTAAATTATGATATTTTTTAATTAATTATATTTAAGGAATGTGCCACACCGATATGACCACATTCGTTTATATTTTTTTTTACTTTTTAGTTTATTTAAATATTATATTTTATTTAATTTATACATTATTTAAATTTTTTGTTTTTTTATAATATATTACGTAAATTAAATTTATTTTATTTAATTAAATAATTATTATTAATATAATAAATTAATAAACTAAAAACTAAAAGAAAAATTTAAGCTTAAATGAATGTGGTATATCTGTTAAAGAATTTTTTCTTCAAAAGATGTCAACATCCGTTAAAGAAAAGAAGTGAGACTGTAGGATTTTTAAAAATATAAAAGTTAGTTTTGGAATTTAAAAAATATATTGTGATGCACGGAACAACGTGGGTGGTGTAGGGAGTAATCCTTATATTCTGCAAAAACAAACATTTACTTGGGGGTGTTACTCCCTCCACCACCACATTTTCTCCCTCCACCTCCCTAATTCTATTACATATTTTTTGAATTACAAAACTAACCTTTTATAATTACAAAAATAACCTTTTTCCTTTTTAATCCTAATTATTTACTTTTATAATTAAACTAATAAATAAATTTTTATATAATTATATAATTATTAAAGAATACAAAAAGTCATATATAAAAATATATATTATACAAAAATCCTAACTATATATAACGTGCAAAATAAAAAAAATCTAAATATATACTAATAAGAATAAAGATCCTCAAAAATACATTATTAAAATACATCAAAATATATTCAAAAATAATATATCAAAAAATATAAATTATATTATTTAAATATCTTCAAAATTAATATAAAAAAACTGTAAAATATAAACCGTAATCTTTAAACGGATGTGAGCATCCGTTTAAGAGAAAACGGATGTCAACATCCGTTTAAGGGAAAACGGATGTCAACATCCGTTTAAGGGAAAACGGATGTCAACATCCGTTTAAGGGAAAACGGATGTCAACATCC